CCCAGAAATGGTACATATCACACATATGCTTACAGCGCAATGTTAGAACTAGTGACATGACGAAGGGAGATGTAATCTCAGTCCGTGGAATTAGAGGAGAACTAGATATTGGTGAACCTAGTAATGTCTACCACTCTTACATCAGTGAAGAAAACAGAGCCTATATTCTAGTAAACCTTCCTTCATATTCTACTAAACAGCAGTTTTAAAAAATTTGTAATGAAACAGTAAGAATTACCTAAGACTTGACCACCCCAGTGCATTTTAACTCTTGATGCTTTAGACACCATCACATAACATGATTTCCTATTTTTATGTGTAAGTAACAAATAACCTAATGCTTATTTGAAAATACTATAGAATTATTGGAGAACTCTTAGTTTAAAAAAAATCTGCATCATGTCAAATGCCAATTCTTATGGTAAGAGTCAAGGTTGTTCATTACATTGTTAATATTCATCATAAAAATCATGCCTTCTTTGCTATACACCTGTTAAGTTAAACACTGATTTACTTTATTCATTATAAAACAAATATTTATTTAAAGTCTGCAGTGTTCAGAGACAAAATACTGGGAATACGCCAGTGAGTAAAAGTAGCCATGATAGAGCTTGCAGTCCAGGACAGGGGGCAGACATTAATCAAGTAACCACATCAACTGTTACTAGGATTAAATGATGCCCTGAAGTCCTTAGAGCAATGCTAAGTGTGTGGTTAGTGCTGAATGAATGTTAATGATGTTAATCATCATCACCCAAAGATCTTTTTGACCAAAATATGTTAAATGAATTGGAAGGAAAACAAAAAGAATTTTGGTAGTAGTTGGTAGGAAAACATGAAGATGTCTTAGACTTAAGTGTTATTATAAAGATAAAGAAATATGGAAAAATGATATATATTTAGGAGTAATATTGACAAGACAACACTATCTGGCTTGCTATATACTCTACGTATTTTATTTATTTATTTATCTAATTTTTTATGTTATTAATGTTTTCTCTCCAACCACTGGAATGTACGTTCCATGAGAGCACGAGTTTTTGTCTCTTGTTCATTGCTCTATCAGTAATAGTAACAGGGCCTGGCACATAGTGGTTTGTAAACATTTATTGGGAGAAGAAATGTATTGGATAGGAGTGAAAGGGAGAGAACGTACTTAGGACTCTCAAGTTCCTGGTTTGTGCAGTTGAATGGTATATGGTTGCATGTCTGAGACAAGTACCAAGTCTTGGGGCTTATAGTCATAGGTTGCCTTTTGAACATAGCTTGCGATGCCTTTGAGACTGCCAGAGGGAGCTGTTAAGGAGACAGCTGGATGTGACTGGGGCTCAGATGAGAGTCTTGGCTGGTATATATTTAGATGATGGTTGTCATTGAAATTGCAGGTATGAATGATCAAAGAGAGTATAGAATGAGAAGCAGAGAGGGCCAAGGAGTGAGCCTTAAGGAAACCCATCACTGAGAGACAAGAAGGGGCCAAGATGCAGATGGATCACCTGGGCAAGATGTCTTAGGAAATGCCTAGAGGGGAAGGGTTCCCAGGAGGAAGGGGTGGTCAGCACTGCATGCTTAAGTACCCTACAGTTCATGGCGGTCTTTATACAGTAGAGTTTATTGGAGCACTGTCAATCAGATATTGATAATAATAAATAATTTACCAGCTCTCAGTGATACTGAGTTCTGATTGCACGACAGTAGAGGCGTTTGAGCTCAGAGGATAGCTGTATTAATTTTCTGTGAACTATTCATTTTAGAAGGAATGATGATCTCTTTAAGATACAAAGTTTTTTTTTGTTTTTTGGTTTTTTTTGGCGGGGGTTAATGATAAGATTAGAATCTACCTCTCTGGGTTGGATCCTCATGTATCTTCAACACAATTGTTTCTTGACAGGTAACTCAATTTATTTTGTGGTGGGAAGGGTGAGGAGGGGAGGCTTCTGTACAAGAATTCTCTACAGGTGGAAAGTAATGTTCAGAATCTCCTTAGGTTTCACTAAGATTAAATTTCCAGTTTAAGTGGAATGTTTCATTAATTAGCTTTTATTTGTCTCCTTTAGTTGGAAGTCTAACCATTGTCTATCATAGATGTGATTGTTCTGAAATATTTGCACTGCCTTCAAATATCTAAATTTGCCTTGGACTGTTATTTTCGACCAAAATTTATTTTGGGTTACTTTCTAATTTTCTTAAGATCTTGATTAACAACAATTACAAAAAAAATATTTTAGAGTTTATCAATCATGGAATCTTCTCCACTGATGCTACAAATTTAATAGAACTTTTAAATTTTATTTAAGAACATTTGCTGGCAGATCATCTGCTTTTGGAAGCAATAATTTGCGTACTAAAAGTCTGCATTATTACACCTTTATTAGTGAGTGTTTCATTATGAGAAAGAACTGTAGTGTGTTCCTGCATGTGGATGTGGCAAGAATCATTTTCAGGAAGCCTCCCACAGAGGCATTCTGAATGCCCTATTTGCATTTTGTGCAGTTCAGTGGCTGATTGTTTGGATGAACTGAGTTCACACTGCCAGCTATTATGCCTCTCCTCGTGAGCACTGCCGGGTCTTGGAGTGCTAATCTACAAGCCCAGGCTTTTCTCTTGAAAAGTGTTTTCATTTGTGCCCTGTGATTCTAAAAACCATGTTTCTTCTTGGACGGGGGACTGAGGAATTCATTTGTTTTACATTCGTGCCAACCCACCTTATAGTTGGGAGTGTGCAGCTAAATCTGACCCTGGGCTTTCTGTGATAGAATCTTTGATTGGTCACACTCAGCACTTTTGTGCAACGTCAGTAGAGGCTGACTTGTTACACTCGATGCTGCGAGTTCAGACGGAAGCCATGGAAGACCTCTAGTTGAACCACAGAGAAGATAGCTTCTTCTCGCCACGCAGATCCTCACCTTTCCTCTGACCTTCCCTTTCTCTTTCTTGCTGCTATAAAATCTTGGCTTATGTGACTCTTCAAACTCACCCACCTAGACTTAGACTCACTCACTTGTTTACTTTTTAATTTTTTCGTGGTTTGGAGAAAGAAAAATGAGGTTCAGTGACTTATGATGGGGGAGGCGGCTGTGGAGAGCAGTGGAGAGAAGCAGCTTTATGCAAATGGTAGATGTATTTGGTTCTAGTCACTGACAGACATCAACACGTCATTAAATGATAGAGGATGTACTCAGCTTAATTGGATAATGAACTTCATAAGAAACAATAATTCTGTGCCATTACTAAATGGTAGTTACTACAGATGATTCTCTTGGGCAATCTTCTTATTTAAGCAAGTTATTTAAGACTAAATCAGCCTTTCAGCTCCATCTTTTCTAGTACATTAGTATTTGTAAAACTTTAATCTTACGCATGTGATAATGTCATATCCTTCCGAGGACCACACACCTATACTCCAAGAAGAGGACTAGCATATAAAGATGCTGTGGATCACACTTCCAGTTTTTAAATTTCTATATACCCTCTGATTGCTCCCCTACCACACCCCCGGCATGGGAACTTCTACAATTGATATGGACATGAAAGGATAAAAGCCTTGAGAAACAGAAGTTAAAAGAAATCTCGGTTTTGTTACAGGTGCTATTTTGTTTTATTAATCTCATACATGTTTTCACAGTTTTTGTTTTTGCTTTTAAACTTTAGAAACGACATAAAGCTGATAATGCAGTGAACAAGAAACAGACACAAGGTAGGAATTTTATATTTTGTTTCCTGTATCTATCAAATACGCTCATGATAATATGTACAAATCACTTCAGTTACATATATTCGTGGAAGAGGGTGAGCATCACATCCATGTACTCTGCCTTCTTGGCAGTCCCCCACAATGAAGAATATTGTGTATCTCTTAAGTTTTTGTTCCAGGGTAGATTCTTGCTTTGTAGCATTTATTAGCATGACACTTAAAAATTCAGATTAGAGTGATTTGCAGGGTAATACTTTTTGAAAAGTAACATTTTTAATACATTTAAGTGCCTCATAGCAATGTACTCACAAGTATTGTCCATAAAATCTGCAGTTGTTTTTGACAGTGTTAAAGCAGAATGTCTTTATTTGTGTGTGTGTGATCTGTAGATATTACCTGAGATAAGATTTATAGAAAATAATCAGATATGATGTTTCTTTGGTGGAAGGCATTTTGAAAGCACTTTGAGTTATCCTGGACTTGGAGATGATATGTGCTCCTGAAAGAAATAAAACAAGTAAAACCAGGCCAGCTGCTGGGAAGCACATCTCATTTTGACATGGCTTTTTTGTTGGGGATCTCATTTTGATGGAATCAAAACCAAATGACGTTTGATGCAAGCAAATAGACCATTGTGCTCTCAATTTAAAAAAAAAATTACCCAGAAGCATGGGAAACAGATATCTCATCCCTGAGCTCGCCCCACCTGAGAATCTCATCTCTCTCTCACCTGCCCTTTTGTGATGAGGATGAGCCATGTCTGCCTAAATGGGCTGGTAATTAAAACAGTATTTTTATACAGCATGACTGTTAGGGAACCCTGTCAAAATGCTCTGCCTCTTTTCTCACCATCTTCCACCAAAGGGATTATCTGCTGATCTATGATGCATTTGAGGAAGGTGCATTTATTAAAACATTGCCTAATAAATCAACTAAATATTTACTGAGGTTATATTTATTATGGGACATATGAAAAAGTGTAAGATGGGAACTATTTAAAAGGTAAAACAATATTGTGTGAGAAATGAAGGGTTTGGCTGACATGATCTCAGTGTCTCTCGATTTTTGTGGCAAACAGTGGTTCCTGTGTCAAATGTTATATGATTCAAAAGAAGGAGAGAGAATCGTGGGGCAACTTGAGCTAGATCTTGAATTCGAGGAAAACTTTAGATGAGCAGAGGCCCCTGGGGAAGACATTACTTGTGTTGTTGAGTGAGAAGGAGGGAGAGAGATTTTCCTGAACGGAGATGAAAAAGGCTGCTGGATTGCTTTGCTGAACCACTATTAGAGTGGAGATATAGGAGATTTATAGCAAAGAAGAGCAAAGACATGATTAGAAATGTAGGCCAGGGTCAAATTTTACAGGGCTTTGAATGCCAAGCCAAGGAGATTCCAATTTGTCTTATGTATGCTGAGCAGCTGTTGAAGGTTTACAAGCGAAAAAGAGACACTAAGAACATGCAGATTAAAGCTGGAGAGCAGAACAAAAGGGAACCGGGGACTATCAGAAGTGTGGGGACTAAGCTGCTCCAGGAGTTTGGGTGGGAAGGGACAACCCCAGCTAATGAACGGGGAAAAAACCCAAGTATGTCAGGTACTGGTATTTTTGGTGATGTGCAAGTTTTTTGTGTTTGTTGCCATGTTGCTCAGAATATTCACTAACAGCTTTTGAACTAAAAATATGTAACTATTTTTTCCCAGTATGTAATGTGTCTTGTTCCAGCAGGCTCCTGTCCTCAGGGACTGGCATTCACTTATTTTCAAGTCTTGGCCCTAGAAGTCGACGTTGTACGGGTGAAGAGTCACTGTCATAGCCAGGATGATTTTAGGCTACTCCATCCTGTATTCATGGGTTCTCTGGTTTTCCAGACACTTGCCTACTCCCAAAAATACTTCCTTTTGTCTACTCTTCATAGAAAATATTCTTTCTTGGTTACCATTCTTGGTTCAGCAGTTCATTGTGGGCTGACAGGATTAGCTTAGCCCTATGGCTAGAAATGAAGAATAGGCAAGTGAGAGGAAAGGCTTCTACAGTATTTAAAACTCATGTCGAAAATAAACTATCAGGGCCTACATGTAAAGACCATTTTAAGTCAGCAGAATTCTTAGAAATCCCATGTCTAAGAAACGATGGCCTTAGTTTGATACTTGAAATTGTTTTCCAAGAGAAGGGAATCACTTTTTTCTTTGCCTAGATCAAGTATTGATCATCTTTTTAGTTTTGCATTTGTTAGGAGATAACAGAAATGTTCATAGGATTTACAGGGTGCTGTTACAGGATGCTGTTTGCGGTCAGATAGCTCTAATTGCTTTATGTGAAAGCCATCTGTTGTCATTAGACAAGAATGAAATTCAGTTTGCTTTCCTGAGTTAAGGCAGCAATGGGTGTAGGAGTGGAAAGGGGGTTACTTTTGGCAGATAATTAATTTTTGACAGACATTTGAAGTATTTAACATAAAATTTTATTTTCTAAATGTTTACCAAGACCATGCAGTACATAAAAGGACGCCTTTCCCTCGGACTCAAATGTTAATCTGTCTACATTCTTAGAGAAATGATTATCTTCTCTCCTTATTTTGATCTGAGGCACCAGAGAGTGACTTTTCTCTGTCATTCCCTCTTGACTTCAGAAATATAAATCTATAATTTCATGAACAACATTTTCAGCCATTTAACTGTGAACTGGTACCTGTCTGATGCCTCATCTTCACAAATTAATGAACTCGATCAGGTGTTATATTATGGATTCTGCAGAAGGCAGGTCCACCCTCTCCCTCATCTTTGTGTCCGCACAGCTGTAGCATCCGCCCCTTCCTTAGCAGGTGCTCTGTGTGAGTGAGTTAACCATTCTCTGTATAGATACTGCAGTGCAAGTAAGAAAGCAAGAAGAGAGCAGAAATGAAAAGCGCCTTCTTGAAAATTCATTATCTAGGGTGTGAGCAAGATGAAAAGCAGTACTTTTTAAAACGCTGTGTCTCAGACTGTTTCACAGGCACTGATTTCAAAAAGAGAGAAAAAACTAATACAGTGGAAGTTCTTGCTGCCTCTTTACTTTCTCTGTTGAAGTCATTACATCATCATTTTAGTCTGCTCTGCCTCCTGTGAACACAGTATGTATCCATCTATTACTTCTGTTACCCGAAGCCTCAGAGCACTGTCATATTCAGAATGCCCTGGCTTTCCTGGCATGTAAACTTGCCTTCATTTTTTCCTGATTGCTTCCTCAGTATTTGAACTCACAGTATTTGACATACCCTCCTCCATGTGTCTACACACACTGGAGGCAGTCTCTCAATGTATTCCTGAATTGCTTTTTTTTTTGCCTAATCTGGCTCTGCAGAAGTTTGTAAATTATACACTGGTAGTTATCATTATAATATGTATATTGAAGCCAATCCCTGTATGAATGTGTTGTGGATTGAGCTACTTCTTTTATTAAATTATAAATATATGCCTTTTTTAATGAAATACTATTATGGCCAGCATGTCAATATTTCAAGTGGAATGATAGATTTGCATAAAATCACAATATGGAGGCCTGGGAAAGGATAAGATTGAGGTACAGACTAAGGTAATTGCGATCTGAAAAACTGAAATTAAAAATGCCTCTTAGTGAAGTAAGTTTGCTTTTTTAAAATCCCAGGCTTGGATATTTTCTCTGAAGGTTGGTGTGCATACCTTCTGCAGGGGCGCGTGTCTGGGAGATGCCTGTGACCTCTGGCAGCATATCAGTCACCTGGCTGGATGCTGCAGGGGAATGAGGGCCACCATGACCACAGTTAGATTGTTTCATACCTTGTAGGTATTAGATTAAAATAAGTCTTTAATAAAGTAGTTTTGCTGTGTTTAATTTAATTTAGAAAAAGACAGCATGAGATTCTTCTTAACTAGGCACATAGCTAAAAACAATAGCTCTCATCTGCACCTGTATCCTCCTTCCCTGGAGCTCCTTCAGCCTTTGCAGAAGTGGTGTTGAGTTGGTGGTGGCTGATAACCGCTAACAGGGCGACTTCCCTGCAGGACACAGAGTTGCTTATCTTCAACTGGAAGCTACTTCATCTTTAAAGGCCTTAATGGAAAAGGTGTTGAGTTGGTGTGGGTTGAATACATTCTAGGTTGTTAAGCCTGAAATGACCTACTATAGGGCTGAGTCCATCTGGTTGAATTTATTTCCTGCAAAGGGACTTAAAATAGCACCACTTTCCTGACTTATTGAAAAAGCCACTGTGCAGCCTTTTTGTCTCCCTGGAGGTGTCTCCACACCTGGTCCGTCCATAGGCCTAAACCTGTACTCTACAGCATGTACATCACTTGCCTAAAACAGTTCTTAGGAAGTATTGTTTCCATGAGCTTAAAAATTGGACTTAAAAATTGAGTGCATATATGGCCTAAAGAATGTTTTCAGACACCTCTAAGATTTTTTTTAACTAAGTTATAGTCAGTTTACAATGTAGAGCTTAATTTTTCAGTTATACATGAACATATTTATATTCATTGTCACATTCTTTTTCACTGTGAGCTACCACAAGATCTTTTGTATATATTTCCCTTTGCTATACAGTATAATCTTGTTTATCTATTCTACACATGCCTGTCAGTATCTACAAATTTCGAACTCCCAATCTGTCCCTTCCTACCGGCAACCACAAGTTTGTATTCTGTATCTGTGAGTTTGTTTCTGTTTTGTATTTATGTTCATTTATTTTTTTAGATTCCACATATGAGTGATCTCATATGGTATTTTTCTTTCTCCTTCTGGCTTACTTCACTTAGAATGACATTCTCCCGGGACATCCGTGTTGCTGCAAATGGCATTGTGTTGTCATTTTTATGGCTAAATACTATTCCATTGTATAAATATATGACATCTTTATGCAATCATCTGTTAATGGACATTTAGGCTGTTTCCATGTCTTCGCTATTGTACGTAGTGCTGCTATGAACATTGGGGTGCAGGCAGACACCTCTAAGATTGTTAATATCTTCAAATTAAAATTTTAAAA